TCGTGATGACGTAGAGGGAGKAAGTCGTTCGAGAGAYAACGATAGATACCTACAGTGAAATGACAGTAAAAATAAAAAATAACTTTTCCTGTTCCCCGATATTTATCTAGATCCTATACGCAACACTTGTTCGTCCAGAATAATCTCTCAACACTTTGGCTCCATTTTTTATAGCCAAGACATGAAATAACGTTCAAATCGTCAGAATAATCTCTAGTAGCATTAGATTTGCCGTTCCAGGCTGGATTATCCCGCGTTCAGTCTTAGAAAACATAGATTTGTAATGAAATATGGGAAACTTGTACAGTAAACTTTGTATTTACCGAAGGACGAGTTACTCGAGTTACTTTTCATTGTTTTAGTGGCAATTAATTTATTTAAAGATTAAAGATTAAAGACTCCATCTACGTCATCAACCCAGGCTCCCTCGCACTCGGCCAAAAATCATTTGTCCGAATTCAACGAGCATAAAAAATATAAAATTTGGAAATTCGAATTTTTTTAATGTGAATTTGTGGTTTATAACTCCTAAACTTTTTTTTTCCAAATGTAAAAAAATTGGGTGAGGTGGACTTTAAAGTGTCTACCTAGCTGACTTAATAAGATGACTTGTCTGGCCAGCTGTTTGACTGGTTTTTGGTCGATTTAGACATAGTTACTATGAATTAGACGGCTAAGTGCCTAGCTAAAAGTTCGACTTAGACGAAAAAGTGGTTGTTTAACTTATGTACTTAGACGAAAAAGTGTTAAAGAATCATAACCAACCGCCGTACCTTGCGAGCCGAAGCGCCATTTTAGGAGGACACGAAAATGGTGGATTCGTAGGATTTCTTAAAGTCAGCGCGAATCGTCTTCCGTCCTTTCAGTTTGGACAGAAATACATTTAACTAAGTACCTCACAGGTACCATCAATCTATAATTTATTGTATCCTTGACTCATTTAAACGTATGTAAACAATAATACGAGCGCGCAAGGTACGGCGGTTGGTTATGATTCTTTAAGCTAACTGTGTGATTTCGTTGTCTGGCTAACTGAGCAGTTTTGACGGCAAAATGACTGATTAACCTACAATTCAGTATCATGACCACTTAACAACATTGCCAGATAGACCTTATCATAGAATGTAAATTGACTGTCAGCAAGCAAAATACAAAAAGCAACTGTAAATAAAAAAAAAACTTGATACATACCTGGTTTGTGTCATAAACAATGTATTCTGAAAAAATA